TCTCTCTCTCTCTCTCTCTCTCTCTCTCTCTCTCTCTCTCTCTCTCCCTCTCAACTCAGAAAGGTTCCAAAACAGAGAACTTATCAGTTAAGGCCAACAAATATCACAAATATCAGTTATTGTTATCCTATTTATTGAGCCACATAAGTACCACCAGTAAGGTAAGTATACTTTCTCCATGAGAAGAAAGATTTATACTAACACTGTTTAGACAAGATATCAAGTCTGCATCTTGTACTCTGAATAGCTACTATAAAGACAACAATATGCAATGTATTAATTATTTTAATTGTCTTACTAACCTGTTTTGAAACTGTCTCATTGTTATTTGTTTCTCAATAAATTTATTTAAACATATATGTAAAAACTACATTTTATGCCTTTATTAACCATTTGGAAAACTGTTGTTTGCACATGAGATGCTAAACATTTACAACCTTATGTAAATAAATTATATAAAACATGAAGAGAAGAATAAAAAGAACTATAATTATCCAGTGGGGGCAAAATGAGGATACAGATAGACGTTATCATTGTACCATGTATTCATTTTGGGGAAAAGAAATTTACCTCTTTAGGAGTTTTATATCCATCTCGTAGAAAACGACAGCAACCATAACGACCCTGGAAACAGAGAGAAAAATATAACTCCTGAGAAATACATTCTCCTCAACATCTATATGTACCAACTGCTCACAAAGATAGACATGACATTTTTTTTTAGTGGATAATTCCTTTTTATTTTTAAAGAGAGTATAAAGTAGAACTAAAATAGAAAAAAATTACAAGTAATACAGAATTCCACTTAATAAAGTAATATGAACTTCACAGTATTTGTTGTAATACATAGTGTTGTCTTCCAACTAGTGGTTCCTGTTATCAGATATATGCATGTAAAATTAGAAGAAAAAAGAAAAATGAAAGAAGTGTATATGAAATTAAGAATAAAAAAGTACAATTAAAAAAATGAGACAAAACAAATTAAGTATTACCTGCTCCTTTCCACAGACCAGCAGAGATGCACAGTACAGTTGTCCAAACCACCTTGTATACACATATAGATAAATCTCTTTCCCCCACTCCCTCTCCTGCCATTCTCCTCAACTCAGTACTCTTTCATTTTGAATAAGTTCATTCCCTTTTCTCAACATTGGTACCCTTCAGATTCCGTTTTTCTCTTTCAGGTTCTTACAGTAAGGAGGCAATATGATTATTGGCACATGCGGGTTTGATTTATTTCACTTAAGAGTCTGGTCATTAGTTGCATCCATTTACCCACAAAAGACTTATATTTATCTTGTTTTATGGCGGAATAATAATACATTGTGTAAAAATACCACATCTTCCTTATCCATTCTTCAGTTGATTGGCATCTGTGTTGTTTCCAGGATCTAGCTATGACAAATTGCACTGCTATAAACATAGGTGCATATATATCACTGTGATATGAGGTTTTCAGTTGTTTTGGAAAAATACCCAGGAGGGGAATAGCTTTCATGAGTGAGATCTCCAATCCTTGCTTTTTAAGGAATCTCTAGCATTTGTTATCGGCTGATTTCTTGATGTTAGAATCTCAGTGTTGTTTCAATTTGCATTTTGTGAATGACCAGTGATGTTGAACATTTTTCATATATTTACTTGCCATTTGTATTTCTTCCTCTAAGAACTGTCTATTCACCTCAGATGCCCATTTTTGAATTGGGTCTTTGAATTTGGGGAGCCTGATTTTTTTTAGTTCTTTATATGTCCTAGAGAGAAGATCTTTGTCAGAGGGACAATCGGATATTTTTTTCCCAAATTTGTGGGTTTTCAATTAACTCTGTTTGAGCTGTCCTTTGAAGTAAAGAACTTTCCAGAGATGAGATTCTAGTTGTTGATTCTTTGAAGCTTTTCCCATGCAGTTTAGTTCTTGTTCATCAACTCTCTGCCTATCCCTGTGTCTTCAAGATTTCTGCCCAATTTCTCCTCGAGTAGATTTAATGTTTTTATTTTAATACTTAAATCTTTGGTCCGTTTTGGCCATAGTTTAGTGTATGGTGAAAAATATGGGTCTAATTTGAGCCTTTGGTATGTGGAAAGCCAGTTTTTCCAGCAACATTTATTAAAGAAACTGTCTTTCCTCCAGTGAGCATGTTTGGCCCCTTTATCAAAGATAAGATGGCTGAGTGT